TGTACGAACACGACTGGCGCAGGCGGAAGTGATTAAAGGCGTCTGATAGTTCTGGGGAAATTTTCGACACTCCAAGCCTGTGTCTTTATGTTTGTGTGTCTGTGTGTGTCTAACTGTGTCCTTGTGTGCGTGTGTCTATGTACGAACACGACTGGCGCAGGCGGAAGTGATTAAAGGCGTCTGATAGTTCTGGGGAAATTTTCGACACTCCAAGCCTGTGTCTTTATGTTTGTGTGTCTGTGTGTGTCTAACTGTGTCCTTGTGTGCGTGTGTCTATGTACGAACACGACTGGCGCAGGCGGAAGTGATTAAAGGCGTCTGATAGTTCTGGGGAAATTTTCGACACTCCAAGCCTGTGTCTTTATGTTTGTGTGTCTGTGTGTGTCTAACTGTGTCCTTGTGTGCGTGTGTCTATGTACGAACACGACTGGCGCAGGCGGAAGTGATTAAAGGCGTCTGATAGTTCTGGGGAAATTTTCGACACTCCAAGCCTGTGTCTTTATGTTTGTGTGTCTGTGTGTGTCTAACTGTGTCCTTGTGTGCGTGTGTCTATGTACGAACACGACTGGCGCAGGCGGAAGTGATTAAAGGCGTCTGATAGTTCTGGGGAAATTTTCGACACTCCAAGCCTGTGTCTTTATGTTTGTGTGTCTGTGTGTGTCTAACTGTGTCCTTGTGTGCGTGTGTCTATGTACGAACACGACTGGCGCAGGCGGAAGTGATTAAAGGCGTCTGATAGTTCTGGGGAAATTTTCGACACTCCAAGCCTGTGTCTTTATGTTTGTGTGTCTGTGTGTGTCTAACTGTGTCCTTGTGTGCGTGTGTCTATGTACGAACACGACTGGCGCAGGCGGAAGTGATTAAAGGCGTCTGATAGTTCTGGGGAAATTTTCGACACTCCAAGCCTGTGTCTTTATGTTTGTGTGTCTGTGTGTGTCTAACTGTGTCCTTGTGTGCGTGTGTCTATGTACGAACACGACTGGCGCAGGCGGAAGTGATTAAAGGCGTCTGATAGTTCTGGGGAAATTTTCGACACTCCAAGCCTGTGTCTTTATGTTTGTGTGTCTGTGTGTGTCTAACTGTGTCCTTGTGTGCGTGTGTCTATGTACGAACACGACTGGCGCAGGCGGAAGTGATTAAAGGCGTCTGATAGTTCTGGGGAAATTTTCGACACTCCAAGCCTGTGTCTTTATGTTTGTGTGTCTGTGTGTGTCTAACTGTGTCCTTGTGTGCGTGTGTCTATGTACGAACACGACTGGCGCAGGCGGAAGTGATTAAAGGCGTCTGATAGTTCTGGGGAAATTTTCGACACTCCAAGCCTGTGTCTTTATGTTTGTGTGTCTGTGTGTGTCTAACTGTGTCCTTGTGTGCGTGTGTCTATGTACGAACACGACTGGCGCAGGCGGAAGTGATTAAAGGCGTCTGATAGTTCTGGGGAAATTTTCGACACTCCAAGCCTGTGTCTTTATGTTTGTGTGTCTGTGTGTGTCCGTGTGCCTGCGTTCTTGTGTGTGTGACTCCCAGCGTGCGTCTGTGTGTACCTCTGTTTGTGTGTTTGTCTGTGTCTGCGTGTCTGTGTTTGCGTACTTGAGGCTGATGCATCTAACCAATCAATCAATCAACCAATCATGTGTGTGTATATGCACATACGTGTGTGTGCGTGTGTGCATGTGGTGAGTTCTTTTTTTCCTTATTTTTTTCCTTTCTTTCTAAGGGCGAAGACCCCGAGTAGTTGGTCCCCTCACTTTTGGTATCCCTTGTAACAGACCAAAAACACTTGTCGTTAACTCATCGTCCCTAACACAAAGACCGAGACCTGCCAGTAGATGTGCCTCCCTTTCTCATCGTCCCCCACCCTTCATCGAGTAGCAGCAGAGGCTGATCGAGAGCTGCCAGTAGCTGTGCCGCCCTTTCTCATCGTCCCCCGAGTACCAGCAGAGGCTATGGCCAAGACTCTCCCACACACCACACACAACCCACTCGCGCTCACACTCACACCCGTGTTGGTCATAGACCCCACTAATAACAATCAGGGGTATCCCGAGGACTATCACAGTCCGTTGGCACTAAGTGCGCCGCAGGCGGCCGTGTTCAGCAGTTAGGTGAAAACCAAGATCTGCGAAAACTAATTTTCAGGACTGTAAATCAATTTTGAGCTAACAAAAAAACCCTTAGCAAAAAATATATGTTATTTAAAGTAAGAATACGATCAACTTTTGCCAGGGAGGCACACCAGTTCAAAATTAATTAAACAAAAAAACAAAAAAACAATAGAAAACAATATGTTTGCTCAGGTTTGAGAGAATATGTTCGAGAACATGTTTGAGCGTTCGAAAAACCCCTGAATACGTTTATCTGTGTCTGTGTGCGCGTGGTTGTTCGTGTCTATGTGTGTGCCTCTGTGTGTGTGGCAGGCAAGGCAAAAGTGTTTTGGGACCACTTTCAGGCCTCTGTCTTGATATGTTTCTGTGTATTTGTGTTTGTGTGTGTAGTTGTCTGTGTGTGCGCAGTTGTGTGTGTCTGTCTGTGTGTATGTGTACCTGTGTGTGTGTGTGTCTGTCTGTTCTTGTGTGTGTGGTTGTGCGTCTGTGCCTGTGTGTGTTTGGTTGTGTGTGTGTGGTTGTGTCTGTCTGTGTGTGTATGTGTGTGTCTAACTGTGTCCTCATGTGCGTGTGTTTGTCTGTAAACTCGACTGGCACAGACTAAAGTGATTAAAGGCCTCTAGTGATTTTAGGCCTATAACACTGTTTTGTTAGGCCGAGACACGTTTTACGAGAGAGAGAGAGAGAGAGAGAGAGAGAGAGAGAGAGAGAGAGAGAGAGAGAGAGNAGAGAGAGAGAGAGAGAGAGAGAGAGAGAGAGAGAGAGAGAGAGAGAGAGAGAGAGAGAGTGGCCGTCCACCCAAAGGTAAGTGAACAAGAACTCACGAATGAAAATGAGAGGGTTATCAGAAACAGCCTTTAGAATAAAAAATAAAGGGTTATCAAAATTAACCTTTAGAAAAAGAGAAAAGCCCAACAAAAGAACTGAACCAAATCTGACAAAAGAAGTAAACCAGAAATGGTCCACTAAGTCACTCCACGTGTAAACTAAAGCTCCATAATGCACCGAAAACTACCACACCTGTGGCGAGTGCCCCTGGGTGGACCTCCCCAGGCCTCGTTCCCAGTAATGATGACACTCTCAAAATTGTCAACGGAATACATGGTTCCCTGTACAACGGAACACATGGTTCCCAGTACAACGGAACACATGGTTCCCAATACAACGGAACACATGGTTCCCAGTAATGACGACACTCTCAATATTGTCGACCTATTGCGGTCTGATCCACGAACCGAGTGCGCCTGGTTCCCACTTCCACAACCTAAAAGGGAAAGAACTAGCCTACTCTACGCAATAACAATTCTGCAAAAAACGAAGTCATGTGCCAAACCACACAGCTCCAACGACGAAGGGACGACGACCAATCCTGGGAGAGGCAAACTAAAGTACCCGCTGTCCCCGAAAACTACCACACCTGAGCCCTCGTTCCTCTAAATGGCTACAATACACAGCGGAATATATGGTTCCCAGTAATGATGACACTCTCAAAATTGACGACCTACTGCGGTCTGAACCACGAACCGAGTGCGCCTGGTTCCCACTTCCACGACCTAAAAAACAGAAAGCCAGCCTACTCTACACAATAACAGTTCTGTGGAAAACGAAGCCATGTGCCAAACCACATAGCTCCAACCACGAAGGGACGACGACCAATCCTGGGAGAGGCATCCAGGCAAAGCAGCACACATTCCGACGACGCAGGGGCGGCGATCAATCCCGGGAGGGATACAGGCAAAGCAGCACACACCAGAGGAGGATCGTGTACGAATAAGGTTTGGTTTCTCTTCTCACACCAATTGCGAGAGGCACAATCCTTGCTATATGGACCATTGTCGATCCTGCTTCGGCTCTTTGACCGGAACGCACCAAGCAAATCATTATTCGACATCAACAAATGGCAACTCCTAGACCACAAACCACAAGAATCCTCACAGGAGACTCGTGAACGAATAAAGCTTGATTTCTCCTCTCGCACCAAACGCGAGAGGCGCAATCCTTGCTACATGGATCGTTGTCGATCCTTCTTCGGCTCTTTGACCGGAATGTACCAAGCAAATCATTATTCGTCGCCAACAAACGACAGCTCCTGGACCTTTTGTCATTGTCGCGGGCGATACGTGGTTTGAGGCTACTCATGGTGAAAAGAACAAGCGGAAGGAGAAGACGCGACCAAGACGGGAGAGTCGGCAGAACACGAAAGCGACTTGAGGCCACACATGCAATATAGGCCTATATGTAAAGCGCGTGTCTACACATGCAATATAGGCCTATATTGCATGTGTGGTTTGTGGCCACACATGCAATAAAGGCCTAGATCGAAAGTGCGTGTCCACACATGCAATATAGGCCTTCATTGCATGTGTGGTTTTAGGTCACACATGCAATATAGGCCTATATCGAAAGTGCGTGTCCACAAATGACATATAGGCCTATATCCAAAGGATATGGTGTGGCCTCAGTCACTTCGCAGTCTGTGAGTGAGTATTGGCCTTAAGGCCAATCGCTACCCCACCCTGCGGACTTGACACCTCTTCACCGCCTGCCTTTCGTTTGCGCCCCTTCCTGCCGCCAGCCGTGGTCCTGTTCGATTCCTGGCTCATAGCGAGGCTCAAGACACTCCGTTGAGCATTTGCAGCAGTAGGAACAGGCCCGAACGCAGGTTGCGTCTCAGCCTCTGGTCTGGCTTCAGGAACAACGCTGGGAACAGGCATGGAACCAGACACAAGTCTACTCTCACCGGGAAGAGGCACAGCGAAAGCGGGCTCAGCACCGATAACAGTTTGCTCCACACCGGACAGGCCGGCAGTAGCCTCGACAGTGGGCAAACTCGCACTTGACTGACCGACAACGACAGCCTGAGCGTTGTCCGCCACTCCAGCAACAGTGCCCGTGTTTTCGTCGGGCACGAGTTCATTTTCGGCAGACTTCGTATCCTCAGACAACTTAGAGGTCGGGCTGCCTTGTGCGACCGTTTCTTTTCGCTTTGGCGTTTCGCGCGCAAGTCTGCCGCCGATGTCCGTCAGAAGCCTCGTGGCGATGCCCTTAGCGCACTTGGTTTATCTCCACCACAAGGCAATTCCGATTTGCCTTGACGCACGCTATGGCGCCTGTGCCGGAACCGGAGAAACCATCCAGAACGTAGGCCCCTGCGGGAGAGAATTTGTTCACAAGCCAGGAGTACAAAGTATACGGCTTCTGGTACGGGCAGAGAACACTGCCACCAGGGTGCTGGTACTTCTGCGTCACAGCATTGAAGAGCTGGAAATTGTGACGCATATCAGTGGGATCAAAATTGTAATGCGCCATCTCGCGCTGCCCACTCTCACTGTAATAGCCCAGCACACAGAATTTGGTCACACTCACAAGCCGGGGCCCACCCGGATTCATCACATTAGGCTTGCACCACGTCAAAAGCTTCTGCCCTGCATTGCAAACCTCCCTGAACGCGGAGCGGATGGAAGGAAGCATGTCCACAGAACAGAATCCCGCAACTGTCCACAACGGGGCACTGGAAACATCCTTCAGATTGTGAAGAACCTCCGCAACGTCCGACTCCGGAAACGGCTTATCATCAGATGCATGGCCTCGTGCGCGAACCCGTAAGGGAAGTCGAAAATAGCCAGAGATATCAGCAACTTTTCTGTTTGCAGCTTCGACAACAAGAGCATGTTGCCATTGATAATTTTCACTTCCGCCGAGTCGTTGTCGTGTGCCACCTCCGTCCAATCGACGAACGGTTCCACGAGAGGTTTCGAACGGAACGTGTGAATAGGCTTCTTTGCTTGCCAGTCTCCTCTCCTTGTTCTTCCATTCAGTAGTCCGTTTAATATGACCATCCAGTGCGGGAATACTCGTCTGACCCCTTCTGATGCCACCAAGGAACTTCTCTAAAATCTCTTTCTTCGTGTGGAGAGGATACTCCTTCTCGGCCTCCTTGAAGTCAGCAACACCCACCCCCACTGCAAATGCCTTGCAGACGTAGGCGATTTGCTTAACAAGCTGGAACTTCTCCTCCATCTCCTTGAGCGAGATCTGCTTCACAATGACCTCAAGGAGGATAGGGACGGCGTTCTCCGGAGCCATACTACCCATGGCTATCCAGTGTTGCGCTGGCATGTCCTCGGCAACCATGGGGACCTTGTTACCCTGCGGTTGCACCCGAGGATAAAGAAGCGTCATTTCTTGTTCCTTCGCAGCCGCCCTATCAAGCCTCTTCCCATGCTGGTTTTTCTTCGCGTCCTCGGACTCCCTCGTTTCCAGATCCTGGTCCGCTTTCAAGAACCTCCTCGCAGTCGGCTTCAATTTTTGCCCTTTGACCTCGCCCTTCTGCCACATGCTCATGATCTTACACATGAGCTCCCAAATCTCTTGGGGTTTGAAAGCACACTTCAGCAACGGGTCTTGGGCATTCAATTTCTTCACCGCGTTCGGAATCCCTGCTTCTTTCAGGCAAGCGAGCTTCACTTCTTGCGACTTGACGCACCCCTTGCTCTCAAAGACTTGGCGCCAACACCTGAGCTTCTCGATGAAGCTCAGGTCCGTGTGGTAACCCGCCGCAAGATTATGCCTGTGGGCAACCTGCCTCGCCTCATCGATCGTGAGGCCAACGTAAACATAGCAGACATTGTACTGGTACTCCTCGTTGTTGGGGTTCATGCGTGCTAACCGCTCCAAACCTGCGTTTTTGTGTGTGTGTCTCTGTTTGAATGTCTGCGTATGTTTGTGTGTCTGTGTTCTTGTGTGCGTGCCTTTGAGTGTATGTTTGTGCCTCTGTATGTGTGGCGGCCTCAGACAGAAAAATATGCGAAGGTGCTTGTAGGCCTTAAACACTTTTGGGACCGCTTTCATGCCTCTGTCTTTATGTGTGTCTGTGTGTTTGCTTGTCTGTGTGTCTGTGTTTGTGTGTGTGGCTGTCTATACGTGTGTGTGTGGCTGTCTATACGTGTGTGTGTGGCTGTCTATACGTGTGTGTGTGTTTGTGTGTGCGTGTACTTGTGTTTGCATGTGTGTATGCATGTGTGTCTGTGTGTGTGTGTGTGTATCTGTGTGTTCTTGTGTCTGGTTGTGTGCTTCTGTGCCTGTGTGTGTTTGGTTGTGTTTGTGGTTGTGTCTGTTTGTGTGTGTCTAACTGTGTCCGTCTTCCTGTGTCCTTGTGTGCGTGTGTCTGTGTGAACTCGACTGCCACAGACGAAAGTGGTTATAGGTCTATAACAGTACTGGGAAATGTGCTTGCGTTAGTCTCTGCCACTTTTCTCAGACAGACACAGGCACGGAAAGAGACACAAAAAAGACAAACGCACACAGACATGAGCTGAGTCTGTGTTCGTGTGCGGTCCACAAAAAGACATACAAACACAGACACGGATTGTGTCAGTGTGTCCGTGTGTGCCTCTGTCCGTGTGTGGTCGTGACCGTGTTTCTGTGCTTGTGTTTGTGCGTGTCTTTGTCGTTGTGTGTATCGGTGTCCGTGTATCTGTGTGTCTAACTGTGTCCTTGTGTGCGTGTGTCTGTGTGTAAACGCGAGTGGCGCAGGCGAAAGTGATTATAGGCCTATACTGGTTCTGGGGAAACTTTTTTGTCACTACAAGCCTGTGTCTTTCTGTCTGTGTGTGTCTGTGTGCCTGTGTTCTTGTGTGTGTGTCTACTAGTGTGCGTATGTGTCTCTCTGTTTGTGTGTCTGTCTATGTCTGCGTGTCTGTGTGTGTTTTGTAAACACGACTTTTTGTGTGTGTGTGTGTCTATGTCTGCATGTCTGTGTATGTTTGTGTGTCTGTGTTCTTCTGTGCGTCCCTGTGAGTGTATGTTTGTGCCTTTGTGTGACACTGTGTGGCGGCCCCCTTTCTCCCGGTGCTTCGAGGTTTGATTTTTGGAAAGACTTTGGTCTTGGCATGGGATGTTGGACCTTGTTTGCAAAACGGTAGCCGGGATGGACCTGGAATAGAGGTAGGTCAGCGAGCTTGGACTGTCAGCAAAACTGGCCGATGCTGCTAGGGTAACTCCGGGTTGAATTGTGAGGTCCCCAGCCTCGTCCCAAGTTTTCGCTGTAATGAAATACTGAATATTTCCCAAAAAAAAAAAAAAAAAAAAAAAA